GATCTCAGCAGCTGGGGGCTGCGAGAAAAGGTCCAGGACCACCCCCGCCCCCTCCACCACCACATGCGAGCACGCGCGTGCGCGCGCGCACACACACACACACACACACACACACACAAAGCACTACCTGTTTGCCCATTCTCAAGGTTTGTTTGGTGTGTTTGACTTTTATGCAAACCTTTGAGGGTGAAAGGAAGAATAGTCTCTGTCCAGGCACTTGATAAGGACAAATTCCCACTGTGAACTATTTGTACCACACACATCTTCCACCCCCACCCCAACCCTTGCTTGTTTTCTTTACATCTGGAAGTTCCTTCCAGCAGCTGACTTAACTTACTCTCACCTGCAACACAGAATACGCTCAGTATGATCTCAGATGTACTTTTTAAAAGGCATAGAAAAGAAATTGGAACTTTTAACTTTAAGTAACTTTAATAGCAGTTACTTCTGGGTGTTGGGTTTATAGGGTTTTTTTTTTTTTTCTTATGATGTTCTATGTTTTTCAAAATTTTTCTACACTTTATTGGTATTTTTATAATAAAAATATTTATATATTTATAATAAAAAAAACTTCTTAATAGTATAAAAATATTCCTCTTGATATAACTGGAGCCCTTTCCCTCAAGGTGAGGGAGGTGAGGTACAGAAAATAGCTTGTTTCGTCCCTCCCCCAGGCCTGCCTCCACCTTTTGATCTCATCTCCCTCATTCAGTTAACTACCAAGTGCCATCAGTTAGATCTCCAAAATGTCTCTGGTACTCATCTCTTCCTCCCCACCTCCTCACCCTGATCCAGGCCTTCGTTCTTGCTCACTTGGACTACTGGCAAAGGCTCTTCCCTGGTCTCCTGCTTCTAGTTCAGCTCCATGTCTACTCCTCTGTCACCCACTACTGGTGTGAGCTTCATCACACATCAGTGACTGGCATTGCCTCTCTATTCCCTATAGAAAGAAAGGCCCTGCTCCTTTGCACAGATTCAAGATTTCGTGATCTGGCCCATGCCTCCCTTCCCCCGTACCTTTCATTTGCAAACTCTGCTCTCCATCGCCAACCCTGACATGACTCTTTTCCTCTATTCACTGAGCACATCTTCCTCCGCACTTTGCTCTCACTATTCCTTTTGTATGGAATGCCTTTCACTCTTATTTCTACCTTTTTTTCCAAATTCCACCCTTTTTCAAGATCCAGTTATTAAAATGTTGCCTTCCTCAGGAAACGCTAGTCCAGACCCTCATTACGCGACATCTGACTCACCATGGCAGCTTTTTAATGGCCTTCTTAACCTCATCTCTTGCTTCTTCAGCCCATCCCTCACACCATTGCTGGGCTACGTAGATATCACACCACTCTGTATACATTGGGAGTCCCTGGATGGTATAAATGGTTAACTCGCTGCTAACAAAAAGGTCGGAGGTTTGAGTCCACCCAGAGGCACCTCGGAAGAAAGGCCTGGTGATCTACTTCGGAAATATCAGCTATTGAAAACCCTATGAAGCATAGCTCTACCTTAACACACATGGGGTGGCCATGAGTAAGAATAGAGTTGAGGGCAACTGATTTGGTTTTTTGATTTTGTATACATCAGAACCACCCTCCCCTATCAGTGGTCCCTATCAGTGTTAGTTATATCGGTAAATGTTTAACAACCAGTTCTGGGGAAGTAGGGGCTGATGTGCAACATCTGCCAATTTTCATCGTGTAAAGACTTCCACCATGGCCAATTTCAAGCTACCAACAAGACATCATTGAAGATGCGGTTGGTAAGAGATGCACACAGTTGGTTCTTACAAACCTATACAAGTAGCTTCCACCATTCCATTGGTCCACATTCAAAAGTTTTCACTGGTGGTGCCTAAGGTACTATTTGTACTATCTTTGCAACTCTTCTGTAAGTCTAAATTATTTAAAAAAAAAAAAAGTTTTTGAAAGTCTACCAGAAAAGTCTATCAGAATAGATGTAGTCTTAGTTGGCAAACCTCTTTCTTAGCAAAACATGTGTGCCCTCTAAACTATTACCCTCTAAGAAAGAAATGAGGAAATAATGAATGAGATTAATTGCCAATGCAAGTACATCGTCTAAAGCTATTGAAACTCTATAGAAGGATAGCTGGAGAGTTTATCAAGAACATCTGAATTCTCAGCAACCAATGTCACAAAACAATATGTGTATTAATTGTTTAATGAGAAACTAATTTGCTCTGTAAACCTTCATCTAAAGTAAAAAAAAAAGAATATATGCATTCTTGAACAACCGCTTCTAACCTGAGACCAGAAGAACTAGCAGGTACTCAACCACCACTACCCACCGTTCTGACAAGGGACACAATAGAATGCCACCGGTGGGTGGGCTTTCCAGGTGGTGACCATCTCATTATATACAGTATCTGCCTTTATCTTTCTCTGAGTGAGTATGCCTTAGTCTTCTGTCAGGATTATTTGTGCCTCTCCTATTTTCAATGGAAGCTCTTGGGAGCTGTGATCACTCAGCCCTCTTTTGAGATCACAGGGCTTGTGCCTTAGCCTTAGCCCAGCTAGGACACTTCATCAGTGTCTGAGAGGCATGATCTAATTAAGTTCATTCACATTATGCACAGTATGTACTGTCATTCAAAGATGGCATGATGGTTAAGATTGTGTGTCATCTTGGCTGGGCCATGATTCTCCGTGTTTTAATGTAATCACTCCCATGATTGACAATACTGTGAGTAGCCAATCAGATGAAAGGGAGGCTCCTTGGGGGTGTGGCCCGAATCTGTATATAAGCAGACGTTCAGGCTTTTTGCTCTCTCTGGATCCTGCAGCTGCTTCCTGTTGTCTCATCTCCCGTTCTTGGGACTTGAGCTGTCAGCTTATCTGCCAAACCTGGGATTCGTTGATCTGCACAGCCTGTGAGTGGGAGCCCTGCTCTCCGACCTTCCGATCTTGGGCTTGCCAGCTTCTGCAGCTGTGTGACTTGGGAGAGGCCTCTACCCTGATCCACGGACTTGGGATGTTCTAGCCTCTACAATCGCGTGAGCTGTTTCCTTGATATAATCTCTCTCTGTATATATATTTATACACTTTACTGGTTTTGCTTCTCTAGAGAACCCAGCCTAAGACAGATGGCAATTTTTGTTTCTTTTTATTGTTGTAAAAATAAATATAACATACATCAATTGGTCCCATCCCACTTGGAGCAAAGAAGAATGAAGAAAACCAAAGACACAAGGAAAATACTAACCCAAAGGACTAAAGGACCAAATGAACCAGAGACTCCACCAGCCTGAGACCAGAAGAACCAGATGGTGCCCAGCTACCACCAATGACTGCCCTGACAGGGAACACAGAGAGTCCCATACAGAGGAGGAGAAAAATGTAGAACAGAACTCAAATTCAAAATATATATACTCAAATTCAAAATATTTACTCAGGTTCAAAATAGACATATATACACATATATATACATATATAACATTTGCCAATTCAACATTCTTCAGGGGTACAATTTAGTGATATCAATTATGTTAATTATGTTGTGCAACCACCACCCATTATCTTTGCCAAATGTCCCATCACCATAAACACTGCTTCCTAAATAATAGATGATAAATTTTTTAATAATAGCTTTATTGAGATATAATTCACATACCATACAATTCACCAATTTAAAGTGTACGATTCAGTGGTTTTTAATATACTCACCAAGTTCAACGTTTTCATCACCCCAGAAAGAAACCCCCCCTACACTCATTAACAGTCACTCCCCATTTCCCTTCAATCCGGTCAGCCCTAGGCAACAAGTAATCTATTGTGTCTCTATGGATTTGCCTACTCTGGACATTTCATATAAATGCAGTCCTACTATGTCTTTTGTGATTGGCTTCTTTCACTTAGCATAATGCTTTCAAGGTTTATCCATGTTGTAGCATGTATCAGTACTTAATTCCTTTTCATTGCTGAATAATATTCCATTGTATGGATATATCACATTTTACTTATCCATTCATCAGTTGATGGACATTTGAGTTTCTATTATTTGGCTATTATGAATAATGCTTCTATTAACATTCGGCTACAAGTTTTTGGTGGACATACGCCTTCATTTCTCTTGGGTATATATCTAGGAGTGGAATTGCTGGGGCATGTGCACACCTTTGAGAAGAGCAGGAATTGGACCTTTAAACAATGCATCCAGGAAGTTATTTACAAATGAAAGGGCAGGGATTTCAGAAGGTCGAGTGGAAGGAGCTGAGGGTGATAGTGTAATGCACTATCACAAAGGTAGTAACTCAAGGTACTGTTTGCAGTTCACCCTGTATCATCTCACAGGATTCAATATCCTGGCGAGTAGAGAAAATCAGACATCATTATTATCTTCGTTTTATGGAGAAGAACCTAAGGCAGAGCGATTTTAAGCAATTTCTCAAAGTCACACAGAAAACAAGAACCAGATTAAGAGTTTTGGATTCCAAGCTCAGATCTTCGGTCGCTTATCTTGTTCCATAGTCTTGTGGTCCACTTACCTTACTGGAGCAAACAAGACAGCCATGAAGGTAGTGTTGGAAACCTAGGAACTGGAGGGGAAGACTAGTTTCAGGAAAAGCAGCCTTCTTCAATAGGACAAGGGCCAAGGAAATACAACCCCGGGAGATAGCTTGTGTCCAGCTTCATGGTCATCTTCTCTAACTTACACATGTCAGTGGATTTTAACACACCACTCTTTATAGACAACTTTTTCTAAGGGTGCTCGTAGACAGTGTATTTTGGACACCGCAGAGCACAGTTGGGAACATACAAATGCGATGTAAATCTTTTCATTTAGATTCAGGAGTGGAACAGCCTGTATAGAAGCCATAGGTACCAACACGGACCGCGGCTTAAACAAGATGGTGGCTGGGACGGGACCGCTCTGTCTTTCTAGGTGAAACTCTATGGCACAGCAGTGGCGTACAGTTTAGGGAAGTGAAGCTGAGATGAGAGGTAACTCGACCACATAAGCACGCCAGGAGGGGAGAGGCAGAAAACGATCTCTCGCGCAAGTGTGGATCTGGAAGCCCTGGGTTTCAAGACAATAGGAACACCTCACATTGCAAGTTTTTTGAAACGTGTGCTTCGTATAAGTCCAGTTAATGCTGAAGTCGGGCGTTCCCTAAGACGCATGCGTTCTAGAAGAGACCAGCGATACAGTGGCGTGGTCTTTTCAACGTCCGGCGTACAGGAGACGTCTGAGGTGGAAGAGGCAGTTACGGTTCCCAGTACGCATGCGCTTTGAGGTCGAGGCGTTTCCTACAAAGGGTGTGGAGTGCAGGGCTCCTTGTTGCGCAGGCGCAAGGACTGTCCGGTAAGGCTAGGCATCTATCAGAGGGAGAGAAAAGGAGGGTGAAGGGCTTGAAGAACCGGAGACGCATGCGCGTTGCTGACTGGTTGGGAGCGTTTAGGACTTCTGAGGGGCGGGGTCACGTGTGCGCGTCATTGGATGGGTAGGTGGAAGGGAGGGTGGAGCGGGGAGGAGTGTATGCGCTTGCGCAGTGCGTGGGTGGAGGGCGGTGGAGACTGATAGCACGCTTGCGCGGCTGTCATAGGGCTGCTTGGTTGGTCAGTGGGGAGTCGGCGCCTGCGTACTAAGACCCGTGTGCAGCAGCGGCGGCGGCGGTAGAGGCGGCGGCGGCGGCAGTGGGCTCGGAGGCAGCGGGCTCGGAGGCAGCGGTTGGGCTCGCGGCGAGCGGACGGGTCGAGTCAGTGCGTTCGCGCGAGGTGAGAGCGGACTTGGCGCGCGTGCGCGGAACCTTGGCTTGGGTCTGGGAGGAGAGATGGGAACTGCGCGGGGGTCGGGGAGGGGGCAGAGTGGAGCGACGGTCTCCGCCGCACGGGGTTCGGTGTGGGAGCGGCGCGAGGTGCGGAGAAATGCGGGCGCGCTCCCTGGTTGGCGCGCGGGCTGGCGGTTGGGGCTGGCCGGGTGACGTTGGAGCGACGCAGGGCGGGGGACGGCGAGCCGCGAGGCCGCCACGCGGGAGAGGCCGCCGGGCGGCCACGCCGGGGCGAGGGCCAGAGGCCTTATCGGCCCATCGGGACAGGAGTACCTGGGCCGTTGAGCACCGGGCGCCGTGCAGCCACGTGAGGTGGGGGAGGGGAAGACTTGGTGAGAGGGCATGTGGGGGGGGTTGGCGGCCGGCGAGGGGGAGGGGAGGCGGCGTGGCTCCGGCCCTGGCGCGGCCTTTGAAGAGGGGGCGGCCGCGGCACCGGAAGTGCCCCCCATGGGAGGCTGCCCTCGGGGTCGGAGGCCACATGGCCGAATGTGGACGGGGGCCGCATGGTATAGCGCAGGGACCCCTCCCCTCCCCCCAGGTCCCGGCCACCGGAAGCCTCGGGCGGGCACATGGTGGGCGGGAGCCGGCAACCCCCAGCGCTGGGAGGCATGGGCCTAGCGGGTGCCTAAAGGAGCCTGGAATTTTGGGGAGTGGGAGCAGCTGGAGGTCCGTGTCCTGGCCAGCCCTGAAGAGTCCGCTGCGGGCATATGTTAGCGCTCCCCCCACCTCATGGGTCCTTGGAAGCTTTTTTCCCAATCCTCATGTGAAGTGAGGCGTCCAGCCAGGTGTAAGTGGCACTCCGCGCTGGGAGAAATGGGAAAACCGAGGGCGATTGAACGGTCGCCCAACTTTTCTCGGCTAGTCTCGACAGCGCCTTCAAGTCCCGGCCAGAAGAGTTCCCCACCGTCGTATGCGCTCTTCACCTTGTCACTGTCTTTTCCGTTGTGTCTAATTGGAGAGTTCCTCGGTTTTAAGAGTCTTTAACTCTAGAAGTCTAATGTAATTTCTGCTACTCTCTACTACCAAGCTTTTGCTTTCAGTTTATTGTTATTCACCACCCCCTACACCCCGACTTTCTACTGACCGTACAGGCCAGGCCTGAAAAGCCGACAGAACCAGTGCATCCTGGGAAAAGTGGGAGGGCCCTCGAGGAGAGGCTGGGTGCCTGGGTTCCCTTCGGGAACCGAGATCGTTGTGTTTGGCAGGAGGATTGGTTAGGAAACAACTTTCCTTTCTCCCTCTCGGCTGCATCTGCAAATGCGTGTTGGGGAGGCGGGAATCCCCCAAAGAGGCCTTGTGGTTTCCTGTACCAGTGACTAGCTCGTGTGTGGATGGTGGGGGGGGTAACAGACGGGTGGGGCCCTGTCCTCCGGTCTCCACCCTCCTCCTCCATTAGCCCCGCCCTTTTGCTGGCTCATGGCTGCTCACCTAATTATAGCCCTGGTTGTGTGTGTGCAAGGAGCCCTGGTGGTGCAGTGATTAAAGCACTCGGCTGCTAACCTAACTGAAAGGTCGGCGGTTCCAACCCACTGGTGCTCCTCAGGAGAAAGATGTGGCAGTCTGCTTCTGTAAAGATTCACAGCCTTGGAAACCCTATGCCCTATGCGGCAGTTCTACTCTGTCCATTGGGTCGCTATGAGTCTTAATCGACTCCACGGCCGTGGGTTTTGTTTGGTATGTGTGTGGGAGAAGGGTGGGTGGTTTCAGTAACACCTAAGTCCTCCCGCTCCCAGGAATTCAGACTTTGCCCATCCCTGAGATTTGGTATCCCAATTTCTTAGAGGCTTTTCTATCCTATGCCACTACAGCTTTTAGTTTTTAGCTGATCCAGCTATTCCACCCTCCACGTATACAGTAGTTTTTAGGTATTTGTGATTCCAGTCAGTGTTTAATCCAGGAACTTAGACCTGATTTTAGGTAGGTAGGGTAATAAAGGGTTAGGGGAAAATGGATCAGTGTTTCCAGAGAGGAGTGGGATAGATTGAGGGTACTGTTACCCTCCGTATTCACTGACCCCAGTTCTCTTCTTGATGCCAGTTGGAATCGAAGCCTCTTAAAATGGCAGATGATTTGGACTTCGAGACAGGAGATGCAGGGGCCTCAGCCACCTTCCCAATGCAGTGCTCAGCATTACGTAAGAACGGCTTTGTGGTGCTCAAAGGCCGGCCATGTAAGATCGTCGAGATGTCTACTTCCAAGACTGGCAAGCATGGCCACGCAAAGGTTAGAATTTCACTTCTCCACATTTGCCTTCCCCACACCTCCAATGTCCACGGGGCTTCCAGCAACAAGCTGTCAACAGTCCTGGCCCTGTACCTACTTTTAGCACCTTACTGTGCAATTCTTTTTGTTCCGCATTCAGTCCTTGTATCTGTTCAGACTACTATACCTGTTCCCCAAGTCTTCAGCCTCTCCGGTGCTTAGCTCTCTGTGCCTGCGTCATTGTTTGGTAATCCCTTCCTTTCTCCATTTTTGTACCAGTATCCCAGTTTCTCTTCTTGACCCTTTTTGCTTCTGTTTGGCTGGTCCTTTTTATTTCTGGTTTCCAGTTTTTCTGTTTCTCTCTTCCCTGGAGTCTTTGTAGGTGCTTTGTTTTCATCACTTTGCCGAGGGTTTCTCCTAACACAAAATGCACCTTTTCTCTAGAGGGGCTCCACCTCTGAGCCTCCATGTCACCTTGGTGTCCCATTCCCTAAATCCAGCTTTCTCTGTAGGTCTCTCATGGGGTAACAAACTGCCTGTACTGGCTCCCTCTCCTTGAGTTCCTTGCCTTCACTTTGCTTTCTTGGTTCTTAACATTCTTGCTAGTGCTTAATACCTCAGGCTTTTCCTCTCCTGTCCCCAAGAGGATACCCCAACCTGGTTTACCCTTGTTGCATTTCTTGTGGTTCTGTTCCCTAATCACTGTTTTTCCACCTTCTGTTGACCTAACCTTCATCCTGTAATACTCCTAATATCAGGATCCTCTGCTTGGTGCTTTCTGGTTTCATGTTTTCCTTATTGCGTAATTTAAGTCTTTTCTTCTTCTTCTGCTCCCCTTTCTCGTTTTTTCATCTTTCCTCAGCTCCTTCCATGTTCCTTATTTCCCAAATTCTCAGCTCCTTAGGCTGCTGTCTAGAAAACCCTTTCTTTTTACCTAGACTCTTCTCACTTCGCTGTGCTTTTAGCATCTTGTTTGTCTGTGTCGTGATAACTAAAGGTAATTTCTCTGAGCCTGCCTGCCAATTTCCCTTGTGCTGTCAACCCCAATCTCAATGGTGGGGTTTTTTGCCTTGGGTTTTTTTTAGAAGCTTTAGTGTTTCTTTCCTGAATTGGTTTAATTCCAGTTCCCCTTATCTTTGCCCTAATATCCTAGTCCGCCTTCCCTCACCAGTGAGGGACACCTTGAGTCTATCTCCTCTATCTTACAATTTGGTTGGGGTTTTTTTTTTTTTTTAATGATATATACATACAGGTCCACCTGGTTGGTATTGACATCTTTACTGGGAAGAAATATGAAGATATCTGCCCCTCAACTCATAATATGGATGTCCCCAACATCAAAAGGAATGATTTCCAGGTATGTAGATCATCTGTGAGAGCTTGGGTTAGTGGTTTACGGGGGGAGGTAGGACCAGAGGAGCTTGTGGTGGGAGAGAGGAAGGAAATGACAGGAGGAAGAGAGGGTATTTGGTATTAGCTGTTTGCTGCCACCCCAGTTTCAGTTTGCCCATAGAAGTTTCGTCTTCAGACTACCTGAACCTGCATTCAGCTTCCTTCCCTATCTGCCCCCAGCTGATTGGCATCCAGGATGGGTACCTATCACTGCTCCAGGACAGTGGGGAGGTGCGGGAGGACCTTCGTCTGCCTGAGGGAGACCTCGGCAAGGAGATTGAGCAGAAGTATGACTGTGGAGAAGAGATCCTGGTATGATGCACCCCTTCCCCCCTTTCCTTTATGCCCAGCTTTGCGCATTCTGCTGCTTCCTGAGCTTGGGCATCTGCTGAGTAGCTCTCTTGCTTCCCCAGATCACAGTGCTGTCTGCCATGACAGAGGAGGCAGCTGTTGCAATCAAGGCCATGGCAAAATAACTGGCTCCCAGGTAAGTAAGCGTGACAGCCCTTCCCTTATGCACACACTGTTACCCCCATCAGTTCCACTGCTTCGTGGCCCAAGGCTTACTCCCTGCCTCCAGGCGGGTCCTGTCCTCCCTACCTTGTCTTCTGTGTTGAAGGTGTTGTCCTGTCTTACCTGGTTTCTCTCTCCTACCCAGAGTGGCGGTGGTGGCAGCAGTGACCCTGGAGCCTGCAGAGGCCCCCTCTCCCAGCCTGGCCCAGCTCTGGCCTGGCCCTTGGCTGGACTCCTACACGATTTATTTGATGTTTTATTTTGGTTTCTCCCCCCAATCTGTCGGGGATCCCCCTGCCCTTCACCCTGCTCCCTTGGCCAGGAGCGAGCAATGGCTTTGGTGAAGCTGCCCTCCTCTTCTCCCCTCGCACTACAGCCCTGGTGGGGGAGAGGGGCGGGTGCTGCTTGTGGTTTAGTTTTTTTTTTT